CAAATTCTTTTTTTGTTTTTTTGAGACAGGGTCTCCCTGTAGCCCCAGCAGGCCTGGATTCACTATGGGGACCAGGCTGGCCTTGAACTCATAGACATCTTCCAGCCTCTGCCTCCCAAGTGCTGGTATTAAAGGCGTGTGCCACCATGCCTGGCTTGATAACCAACTTCTTATAAAGGATACTTGGCACTAGAATTCTAAAGCACACTGGGCTCACAGGGAACAAAGGAATCCATCTGCCACTGGTTATTTCATGTCACATGACCCTGCCTGGGGTTCTCAATCATGAGGTGGGAAGGGCTGCTCAGACTTACTGCAAAGGTTTGCTCATTTTGGTTCATGTTAACACCTGTAACCAAAGCAAGCAGCTGTTGTAAGGAGGAAGTGTAAGGATACAGGAGGAAGCCATCAGTACAGCAGTTACACAGGTGCTAGAAGTCCACTGGTTTCAGACAGACCTTTATTGCATGTGTGCGTGCATATATGCACGTGTGCAAGCCAGAGGCTGGATGTCTTGATTGTTCTCCACCTTATTCGTGTGTGAGAGTAAATGCACATGTGTGGAGGTCAGAGGACACTCTGAAAGCTGGGCCTGATTCTATCTTGCACTGTAAGAGCCCTTGGATCACAGCTGCTCACACTACAGGGTCTGGCTTTTGTTTACATGGGTTCTGGGGGTTTGAAGTTAAGTCCTTACATTTGTATGGCAAGAACTTTTACCCACTGAGCTCTTTGATCCAATGAACTATCTTCCTGGCCCTCTACCTTTTTTTTTTTAAAAAAAAAAAAAAAAAGGCAGGTTCTTCCACTGAATCTAGAACTCATCAATTTAGCTAGGCTGATTGGTCAATGAGCTCCAAGGATCCTCTCATCTGTCTCTTCAGCACTGGGATTACAGGTAAGTGGTATCACACCCAGCTTTTACATGGATGCTGGGGATCCAATCTCAGGTTCTCCTGCATGTGTAGTAAGCACTTTGCTGACTGAACCATCTCTCAGCACCTACATCTTTTTAATCAAATGCTCATATACTTTCATTTCTTTCTGGTCTCACTCTGTAGCCCTGGAACTTATTACTACATTATGTAACCCAGGCTAGTCTCAAACTCACAGCAATCCTCCTGCCTTGAGGCCCTCAAGTACAGGGATTATAGGCACGAGCCACCATGCCTCATGCAATAGCTCCTCTTTTCAAACGTTTCTGTGGTCCTGTGAACAGCTGCTGCTGCCGGGAGCTGCAGGTTTTCTGACTTCCTCATCTTCCCCAGGGGTTTAAATACTCAACAGCTCTATGAGAAAAGTAGGCTTCCTTCTGGATGGGAGTCGTTGACTTGAAACTTACATTTCCCTGAAAATGAGAGGAAAGGGAGCCAGGGTATGTGCCTATATTCTTACCAAGGTGAAGTGTGCTGAAGTCTTCCAATCTATTAAGTTAGATGGCATTGACTGGAATGTCTAACAGTCAATTCCACGTGGTTAACAATGGTAGGACAAGTGACTTCTATTTTCTGTCAAGTGTGCAGACAGCATTTTCTCATTCTTCCAGCTTGTGGGATGATGAACAACTACATATTTTAATTTGTAAAGAGAACAAATTATGATAATCCAACTTTTTAAAAGTAGTTGCTTCTGGGGCTAGAAAGATGGCTCCGTGGTTAAGAGTACTGACTGTACTTGCAAAGGACCTGGGTTCAGTTCCTAGCACCCACAGGGCAGCTAACAACTGTCTGTAGCTCCAATTCCAGGAGGAGCCGATGCCTTCTTCTGGCCTCCACAGGAATTGTACGAACAGGTGTACTTATGTGAAGGCAAAACACTCATCCACATTTTTTAAAAGGCAACTGGAGCAAGAAGTGACCTTTGACCTCCTGATTAAGAGGACCAGAAGATTGCTCATCAATACTTCTGGGGGAAGCTGTGCATTCATCTTCTAAGTCTTTATTTTATCCTTAAAATAGTTAAAAACCAAACACACAGTTATTCCATAAAAGTATTTTCCTATGTACTTCTTGGTTCACAGATATTCTAATCTGTTTTCAGTGGTACAAAACACATCCCTTGAAAACACGTTATTAATGTTTTGAATAGAAGATGGCTCATTTCCCAATGACTCTACCAGTACCTGGCTCCCAAAAGATTTAGAAAAACAAATCAGTTTTCCTATGTACCTTTACAATTAATCTGGAAAGTAAAAACTGCTTTAACATCTTTCTGTGTGGACTAAAAGTTTCACTTCTCATCATTCAGGAGAGAGAATGTGTGGCTTTCTGGAAGATTCATCTTATTCTCTCCCATTTGCTCTGAGCCAGCAATCCAGCCATAAAGGCTCCCAACAGTCCTCGAGCATCCATTCTACCCACAGGTTTTTGCCAAGTACCACCATGTGGCAGCTGTTACCCTGGTCACAGTTCTCTTCCTTCCCTAGGGCCTCTACTATAGTACAGTGAACAGAAAAAACATTCTTCTGCCCTGGGAAGGACAAATGCACACTGATCTACCTGAGTCTTGTCCCGCTGCTTGAGAACCTACTTTGCCATCTTGTTTGTTCATAAAGGAAATGCCATGGGAGGAGGGCCTCTATGAGAAGATGTACCCAGTCTTATGAATCTGCAGGTCTAGACTCAGCGCAGGTTGCAAGGGATCAGTCCCCACTGTGCTAAAGATATTCCAGTGCGGCTTCTCTTTCCCACTCAGTAGATTCTGTTCTCTACAGGGCTCTATCTGACCAACAACCAGAAGTACAGCAGCTGTGGAGAAATTGGACAATCTGACACCAACCACTGAGCTCCACAGCAAGATGAAACAACTAAGACTCCATGTTCACATGACTTTTACAGCCACATTATGGATGTTTTAAACTGAAATTAGAGCCAGTCCTCTCCTTACCTATGAAAGGCAAAGGAATAGAGGCTTCAATTGAGGATGGGTTTCATTTGAGGGTCGAAGTTCACCGTCAACCACATAAGGGATCAAGAGAAAGGCAGAGTTGGATGTGGAAACCAATCAAAGCTGGCCTTCTGGGTTCAGAGCAGCGCACTGGGGATCTCAGCCTTGCTGAGTCTAAGCTTCAATTATGAGTTCCCTCCCATTAACTATATACACACACAACTTTTGTGGGCCACAAACAGAGCTGGCAGATCTTCTGATGCCTTTATAGTCTTCTTTAAAGTTAAAAGCAAAGCCTAAACACTGTGACTTCTTAGCGCAGGGAACAGCAAACGTCATACTACAAAGGCCCTGTCAGGACTTGGTTCAGCCCATGTAGAAGATCCAAGCCATGGACAGTCCACACCTATGTAGCTGTGCTCGTATCAGACTTTACATATGGACACAACTGTACTTAGCTGTACTATCAAATGAGTATTCCTCTTGGTTTCTAAGTCATTAGAAAAAGGAAAACCCACCGTTGGCTTGCAGGCTATATAAAACCAATCAGTGGGCTGGGTCTGTCTCACAGTGCCACTTGTCAGCCTGTCCCAATCCCTGTCATGACTCCAGAACCAAGAACAGCGCTTGGCCTGAAGTCACTGATAAAAACAGATACCACTCTGTCCAGCAGAGGCACTGTGATCTGATGGGGTGTGAGATTCGTTTTCTGCCTCTGACTTTCTCCATTAACACCGCTTTCTCTGGGCTCAGCTTCCCTATCTGGGAAGCACAGCTCACTAGTATGACTTATAGTCTCCTCCACCTCTGAATCTCTATGATCCTTTCTGTACACAAAAGAAAACTGTATGCAGAAGAAAGTTGGCACACAGAATGTCATCACACCTGGAACAGGCAGAGCAGGATCACTTGGGTCTAGTGTGTATATGGAAAATGTTGGCAAGATGGCAATTTCCAGTCCTGAGAGAAACCTCAGGTTCCAGTTTATACCCTGTTGAGTTATCATACAAGGGTGAGATCAAGATGAAAAATTTTGTGCATGCACTATGTTAGACTATTGCCCTACATGAGCACTTATCTGCAGAGCAGCTCCCCCAGCCAGCCAACACCACTTTGATACTATTCTACTAGGCTGGAGTTAAGAGACTACAGAGACCACTGTAAGAGGGCCAGGAAGGGTTCAGGAGGTGGGGCCTGCAATCCAGATGGCGCTCAGAAGGCAGACGAGGAAGAGAACCAGGAAATGCTACCCTGGTGCCTGCACAGGTCTGGGTGGAGGAAGGTGGCCCAGAGGCACCCAGGAGCATGCCTATTACCTAAGGCACTGGGTGGCCTCCTTAGTTCATGGGAAGTGGATGAGCGCTGTCCAAAGGCAAGAACCAGGAGAGCTATGGAAACGCCACAGCAGAGTGGTGACAAGGGATCAGGACTTAAAGAACGGCATGGCCAGTGGAGCCTGGATGAGAAGTGTGAAAGACGGTTCTTTACAAACAGCACGGCTGTTGGGAGATAGGCAGGTCACGGCACAACCAACAAGATGGGAGCAAGGTGACGGTGACACAGAGTGGCATCGTGCTGAGGGGCTCTTACTCCAAAACAAGAAGCAACAGAAACTGATCAGCAGACTATCAGCAAGAAACAGACCAAAGTCCCGAAGAGCCTCAGTGAAAGCATTTCTGGTTATTCTCATGGGCAAGCAAACAAAGGGAATGGTTTCTAAATCTTTGCTGGCCACATGAAGAACTTAGATTCTTAATGCAAAACTCTGTGTCTAAGAGATCTGTAGGAAGGCAGGTGGCTTTAGAAGCTTGCTATAAAAAATACCAACCACAGCCTATTTCAGGAGAGACACTGTCCAGAGAAGTGCAATGTAGTGAAACAGTTGTAGGTGAAAAAGAGAGTCAATGCTGACTCAAGACAAATGCCAAAGGTGTCAAGGAAAATTGTCAAAACCTCTCACAGGTCTGGGGGATGTCTGTGTCTGTTTAACTCCCCGATCCCACCCCAGATTTGGGGGTGGAGGGGTTGTTGTCCCTCTGGAAAAGGAACCATGCTTTCTGTGGTCACTGGCCAGCATCTGAGCAAAGCCTGTCACAGCCCACCTCGACACTCACCTTTTCCATTAATGGCTAAGCCTGTGGCCATGGCAGCAGTCACAGGGCCAGACACCTGAGGCACTAGTGGGTGTATTCGGGGTCTGCTCCCCATCCTGGCTCGTTCTGCACCAGGGCCCAACAAAGCTCCCACAGGCTTCTCTGCAGTCACCTCTGGTGCTACTGTGTCCTCGGGACCCTGCTCCACGGGGTCCAGCTTCTCGGGGCTCTCACTCTGAAAGCCATCCACTGAGGTCCTGCTCTTAATGGGGCTCTTAGGCACAAGTATCTTGATCCCTGACTTGGCGAGGTCCATGTTCTTGCGGTTTGTAAGCGATGGGGCTGTGTTTTTCCTGAACTTCTGGCTGGCAGCCAGCAGCTGGCTGTTTTTGGACTCATGATCTTTGCCTACCACGAGCGCCTTAGGGGCAGTCTTGGCTGGGTTGCTATGGGTGGACCTGGAGATCTGCTTCCTGGCGTTGCTGGGGGAGGTCCTGCTGGCCCGGGCCAGGCCGCCCTCCTTCTGCCTCTCACTGTGGCGGCGGTTGAAGTCATGGATGTATTCCTCGCAGTTCACCAGGTGCTGCTCTGGTTCCCACGTGTCGTCCTCGCTGTCGTAGCCTTTCCAGCGCACCAGATACTCCGTCTTCCCTTTCTTGTTTTTCCTTTTGTCAACAATTCTTTCCACCTGTGTACAAGTTTAAAAAAACAAAAAACAAAAAACAAAAAACAAGAAAAGCATGACTCATTGCAACTCTCTTACGAAAGGTAAGTTTAACAAGGAAACAATAATAATAATAATCCTATGGGCCATAAAAATGTTCTATTTTATCCCACCCAAATCAGAAAAGAAAATGGCAATAGAGCACTTGGAATTCTGGCAATTTCCTTGAAATGAGTTCAAACAACATGCTTGCATTTTACACTCAAAGTATATAGCTAGCATACACATAACAAAACATTATATGGTACCCCATTAACATGTGATATGTCGGTTTAAAAAACAAGCAATGAAGCTGGGTATGGTGATGCAGCCTTCCAGAAACTGGGAGGCTATGGAAGGAGCATTGCTGTAAGTTCAAGGTCAGCCAGGCCTTAAACTTGTCTTAAAACATCAGGCATGTTTTACCCCACACATACGCTTGTAGTTATAAAAATAAAATACACATAGATGGATGTGTGTGAGGTAGCTCAAAGGGCTATTTTCTTTCTATCCTCAACCTATCACCCGAATTGGTTCTCAGAATCATAACTGGAGCAGTGTGAGCCACAAGCAGTCCTGTGTCTGGCCATCCTTAGAGGCCAGCAGTAAGTAACATGCTATGAAGAGTGAAGGCCTCTGTGGTGTGCAACTAGATTGAAGGCTAGTAAGCATCATCCTGAACTGCGTGCTTACAACCAAGAGAAGGCAGTGTATCGTAATAAAACTGGTCTAGGTCAGGCTATTTTCCTTCAAATCTTGGTTTTAACTTTTGTGTTTAACATCTTTAAAGGAAGACAAAGTTGATCTTTTAATGTGATGACTGATATGCCCTATCTAATTTACATATCACACCTTGCCTGTAAGCATGCTATTATTGGAATGCATCCAGTTACTTTGACATTCTAGGTATAAACAGGAGATCTATAATCATACTAAGGAAAAAAATATTTGATATAACGCCCACATGCTATTTCAGAAATGCCCACATCTGTTGTGACACCTACACTTAATGTAAAAACCATCAGACTGCTGCCGCAGTGGTTATATGTGACTTCCTGTTGTGTCTGTGAGACAGAGCAATCCACATCACATAACAGCTCTTTAATTACTGTTGAAAAGGTCTAAGCCTACAATTCTCAAGAACATCTCATCAAGTACAGATTAGAAAACACAGGGTAGCTGGGCGTGGCAGTGCATGCCTTTTAGCCCCAGCACTCGGGAGGTAGAGGCAAGCAGATCTCTGAGAGTTCGAGGCCAGCATGGTCTACATAGTGAGTTCCAGGCCAACTGGGGCTACAGGGAGATCCTGTCTCAAAAAGACTGGGGAAAGAAAGAAAGAAAGAAGAAAGAAAGAAAGAAAGAAAGAAAGAAAGAAAGAAAGAAAGAAAGAAAGAAAGAGAGAAAGAAAGAAGACACAGTGTATACCAAGTTCTCCAATATTCCAAATTAATGCAGACAGTGAAATACCTCACCTTTACCCCTTCCCCCACTCTCTAAAAAAGGACAAACTCTCCAACAAATCTACTTGAGAGACAGAATGAAAGCTCTTAACTATAGAACAGTCAAAAGTTAAACGTTCATTACTGCTTCTATGTGAAGAGGATTAAGCACAGAAAGGCTTTTGTCACGAGGCAGGTGAATTACTGTCAGGTCTGAGTGAGCGAGTACAAGGTCAGGAACACAGCGAGGAGCTTTGCAGTGGTGCTGCCTTGTTCCTTCACTCACAAAGCTGTGTAAACATGTGGGAGCTTTAACATGGCAGTAAAACATACATTTCTGGAAAACTCCATGAAATTTAAAGGTTTGAAATGCACAGGGTGAAGTTTTTATGGAAAAACTACGTTTAATGCTTTTTTGTTACCCCTAAATCCATTTCCAGTCCAGAAGAATACATGTAACCAGAGCAGCCCCCCCCCTTCTCACCTCCATATCCTAAATCTGAGGCACATGTGTGGGGATACAGAATGAGTTTCCTTCTCTCCCTTCTTTATCCTGAGTCCCAGCTTTTCTCCTCCAGGTCCCCAAAGTCCTGCCCCTTCCTCTGTCTAAGGACATGCAGTACAAAAGCACCAGCCCTGGCAGCAGTGGGCACACATGCTCAGTAGCTGAACTGTTCAGAGATGCGAAAAGAAGGTAGCACTCAACCAGGGCTGAGCATGGAAACTACTGAAGGTAGGCTTCAGGCTGACATGATCTTCCAGCCACTCAACTCTACCCAAGTCAAGGAAGCAGGTAATAGTGAATGCAATGGCATTAAACAAAGTGGGCTTTCATCCATAGTGCTGAACTTTGAATTTTGTAATTTCCTGTCTTACAATATTCTTTTATCTGAAATTATTTAAAATATATAACCCACTGTTTGGACCAGCCATAATCTGGAATTGCTAGCCCCTCATTAGATAGTGGGGAACAAGCAAACATACAACTTTAGTAAGTCTTGTGGTAAATGCAATGTGTAAGTTGACATAACACACCTACCTAGGATACAGTAAACCTGACTTTGAAGGGGTGGAGTGACCAGAGACTCACACTGTGCACAAGGTACCAGTTACAAACTTAAGACAACTGGTGGTGTGAGGTGTGCCATTTGGGTGGCCAGAATTAATCTCCTACAAACTGGCAGCACTTAAGATTCAAAAAATTATTACTGCAATATTAAACCTAAGATTACTTCCTGAGTTCCTTTACAGTGGCAAGAGAGAAAATCATCATAGATGAACACAAAACCACATCTTTAAGTCTCAAACCTTTTCTCTGAGTTTCCACATCCCAGATAATGGTTTCTTAAAATCTCTTAGGGGCTGGGCGTGGTGGCACTTTAATCCCAGCACTCGGGAGGCAGAGGCAGGGGATCTCTTTGAGTTTGAGGCCAGTCTGGTCTCCATGGTGAATCCAGGACAGCTGGGGTTACAGAGAGACCCTGTCTCAAAAAAAAAAAAAAATCTCTTAGGAACTGCATTTCTCACAGTGAATATAAAGGCACCTCAAGCTGCACAATGTCAACACCATGAACTTCATACAAATAGTGTGGAAGGACCTAAAGGTACAGAACTGCAGAAAAGGACTAAGATTTTAAAGTTATAATTCAATGAAGGAAGAACGCAGAAAACCTCACCCAATTGCTCAACATTATTTTGAAATAATACTATCCACAGAGACACATGCAGTGAAAATTTAAACAGAAAATTCAAACCTTAAGGCCTTATTTGTCTACAGAGTAAGCGAACAGAAGCTCTTTTTGTTAGGATTTTCTTCTAAAACTTGTTCTAAAAGGCAAAATGTGGGTCAAGCAAAGTCCAGCAGAACGATGAAACCGATCCGAAAGGAGCAGCTTATCATTAAGCCACCCACTGCTTCATTTGCCTGGGTCTACAACCTGGGGTCCCCAGGCCCAGCAAGGTGCCACAAGGTGCTCAGAGCTTCAGAAGACAGAAAGAAAGGCATGGTGGAAAAGCTACAGAGAGCAGGGGCAGAGAAAGAAAGGCTAACTCTGATACTGTTGCAGTTTTAGTAAAAACCAGTGCAAGGCATGCAAATACACTAGCTAGTTGCAAAGCCAGGGCAGAAGTCTGGCATATAAGATCCCTGCAACACTGTGTCTGTATGATTGTCCAGGAGTGCTAAGAGGCTGCCTGGATCAGTGTGGAATCACGAGCAATGCTGAGTGGAGAGAATAACACATTCATTTAAACCCTACTTACAGCAAAGAATGTTGGTGACCGGTAAAATGAGCCTGCTCCTCAGATGAGGAAGATATACTAGCCACTGAAAAGTTGTCCTAATTGTCAAGAACAAGAAAAGTTGCCTGAACTTTTAAGCAATAGTTTTTATTTAATAGTCTAACATCCTTTTCCCAGCTTTATCCTGGCATGAAAGCAATACAGATTCTGTAGAAACCATACTTCCAAGTTTTGAAACTTGATCTCCCAAGTTAGTGGGAGCAAAGCTGGATCCTGTTGCACAGCAGACCTGTAGCTTGTCACCAAGGGAAAAGTGCTGCTAAACTGTGCTGCTCACTGGGTACAGGAGGTGTGTGTTTGACATTTTCAACTTCTAATATGTTTGCTGGGAGGTAACCCCATTCATAAACTGGGGAGCATCTGTATTACAAAAATAGACCCCGTGGTGGTGGTGGTGGGGGTGTCCATGACCAGAAATGAGGAAACATGTAAATGCAACTGTCTAAAGGCATTGTGAAGAGACCCAAAAACAAAGTAGAGTGGACCAGGGGAACATACCACACTGGATCCTGCTTTATTTACGAGGAGCACATTCTAGCTGGTGGACCAAGGCTGGCAGGCCTCAGGCAGAGAAAGCGGTAGTCATAGAGGCTTTGTGTTTCCAAGGACAAAGTCTGGATTGGGAGTAGGAAAGTAGTTCCTAGAGAGGTCCTCTCCTTGAGGAGCCACAAATAGCACACCTGTGAATTCCCAAAGCAAGGAGCTGCCAACTGAACCTAGATCTGGAAAATGAATGCCTCAAAGGCAAAGGAGCTGCCCTTCTGGGGCAGGAGCTAAGGGCCTGGGCAGACAGTACCTCCTCTTAAAGGAGCAAAGCTAGTTAACAGACAGACAGACACAGACAGAAAGAGAGACATGGGGTAGGGGACCAGTCTGTGAATAAAGATGCCAAGAGGCGAATTTCCTGATGAGAATGAGCAAGGGATCATGGGATTCCACCAGTCAGCCCAATATATGGGAAGCTCTACTGGAGGGGTGACAGAGTGCTGAGGTTGGACGCATTGCAAGGGACAGGTTAAAGATGAGAAGACCAGGGGCTACCGCTCTGCCTAGCACCGATTTGAGCTTTGGTTCAGAGGTTTTGTCCTGGAAAAGGGCAATCCATAAGTGAAATGGTCCCCCGGATAACAAGACTTGATTTGCCAGCCCATGTAAGGGAAGTTCAAGCATCCTTAAAAATGAGAATTAAGGGTAATAAGCAAAGCCATAGGACACCTGGGTCAGCAGAGAACAAACCAGGGTTAG